CGGCCCCTGCGGGTGGGGTGGCGTGCCAAGCCGCCTGTGAGCGCCTGTGCATAGGACCTGGGGCAGGGCGGGGGAGGGAGGACGGCTGCTGCTTCCCGGAGCTGCTTGAGGTAAGTGCAGCCTGGAGCCCGCATCCCTGGCGCCTGTGCATAGGACCTGGGGCAGGGCGGGGGAGGGAGGACGGCTGCTGCTTCCCGGAGCTGCTTGAGGTAAGTGCAGCCTGGAGCCCGCATCCCTGACCTCCTGTGGCCCAACCCCATCCCAGCTCCAGTCCACCTCCCACCTGCCGAACCCTTCAGTCTCCGCCCAGTGTCCCCTCCTGCACCTCAAACTCACAAGCCCCACCCCAGAGCCTGCACTTCAGCCAGAGCCCTCATCTCCCCTCTCCTGTACTTCAGCACCCTGCCGGAGCCCCCTCCTGCACCCCAAATGCCTCATCCAAGCCCCACCCCAGCTGGAGCCTGCTCCCCAAACCCAATGTTACGAGTATTTGTGGCCTTCCATGCAATTTCCATACCCTGACGTGGCCCTGATGTCAGAACGTGCTCGCCCCAGGCTGGGTAGACTCCCAGAGGCAAGGGTGATGGTATGCGCCAATGGGCAGTGCCAGACACGAGCTGCTAATGTCTGGGGTTTGTCTGGCGTTCTAGTGCCAGCTCGCCTGGGGCCTCTGGACGTGTCGGTTGCCTGCGTGTGCCTCAGCCAAACCCAGCTAGAAAGCCTGCAGCGGCTGGCTCCCGCGCAGCATCTCCCTGGGGATGCGCGGGCTGAGCTCAGAGCTGCTGGTTTGCAGGGAGCTGGCAGTAGGGAGCAGAGGGGCCCTATGCGTGGCATGGGGGGGGGACCTGGAGGAGCGCGTTACAGGAAGCACCCTGAAAGGTGAAGCGGGGGGATTTTTGGTAGGGGTGGCCGGGGGTGCGTATGGATGAATCAGTCAGCTGTCAGGGTTCATGCTGCTTGTGGGGCAGAGGCAGGGGGTTCCCTCCTCCCTGGGGGTTCAGATCTGTGGCCTCCTATTTCCGCGTGGTCAGGGGCTGGAGGGGGAGCTTGGCCCACGCTGGCATTGGAAACGGAAGATGCGAGAGGAGGCCCGAGGGCCCGTCCAGCCTCCACCCCACCCCGGGTCAGTGCAAGGCGTGTGCCAGAGTCACTAGACGAGTAACGGGAGCACTCTGCATTGTCGTTGCAGAGCACTGCAAGCACAAGTCAGCCCTGGAGAGCCCCGTGTCCCAACCCAAACTCTTGGAGGGAGAGGAGCTGGAGCTGGCCAAGGTACCGGTCTTTGCCCCCGGGTCAGTGTTTTGTGATGGCGAGTCTCTGGGTCGAGTCTCGGTGTGACAGCCGTCCTGTGTACACTCAGACCTAGTGGGGCATGCGCTGCCAGGGGACTGAGCACAAGGCGCAGGTCCCGGAGCAGGTGGGGCTCCTGGTTGGCGCATCCTTCCCCTCCCCGATCCGCTTGGTGAGGGGGTTCCCAACTCACAGCTTGTTCACGAGCGCATGTGCTCGGGGATCCTGCCCCGCGCCCCAGAGCAAAGGGGTGAGTGTCTCCAGTGTCTCCAGACACATCTCTCCCCGCAGCCTGGGAGAGCGCGGCAGCACGGCTGGGACTGCGCAGCTAAGGGCGTGGGTGGGTTGGGAGGCGTTTCCCCGCCGTGATGCTGCAGTGTCTGTTTCCAGGTGACCATGCTGCTGCTGTACCACGCCTCCATGAGCAGCAAAAGCCCCAGGAACTGGAACGAATTTGAGTACAAAATCCAGGTAACCCTCGCCAGCTGGGGGCTTTGCATGACTTCCTCCTGCCTCAGCTGCCATCCGGTCCCTGGGCAAAGTTTCTGAGCGAGGAATATGAAAGGGGAGAGCCCTTTTCTTGTTGGGGTTAGCCATCCAATCAAAGAAGGATGGCCCAGGGGCTAAGGCTTGGGTTGCTAGCCCTCTTTCTGCCACTGAGTTGCTGTGTGACCTTGGGTGAGACACTTCACCTCAATTTGAGCATCTGGAAAGCAGGTTTAGTAGGGACCTGCCTTGCTTGGTGTTGAGATGGCTGCACTCAGAGAAGGAATGTTTCTCCTCCTTCCCCGCCAGTGGATCACAAGTGGGGGGGTAGTCTTGGATGTGGATTCTGTGCTTCAGTCCACGGAGAAAGACCCCTCTGACTCAACCAGGCCCTAATGTCTGGGTCTCAGGGTTAGCTGCCCAGTACTCCCCAGCACGACAGATTGGGGCATGGGGGGGGATGGCATCCTACGGAACCGTCTTCCCAGTCACTAAGCAACAGCTGCTGCTTTTGGGGACGGGGCTGCGCCCACAGCCTCGCTGCTGACACTGGGGCGTGTCTCTGTCTCAGGCCGAGCTGGCGACCATCCTCAAGTTTGTGCTGGACAATGAAGAGAGCCTGCGTGAGAACCTGGAGCTCTTCCTGCAGAAGAAAGGTGAGTGCTGTGTGCGGAGGGTTAAAAGCAAGGGCTCCTTCGCATGCACTCACAGAACACAAAATAGCCGGCACCAAGCCTCAGCCGTTGGCCTTGCAGGGTAGGGGCGGTAGTCATTGGACAGCGTCCGCACCAGGCTGGCATAGCTCCAGAAAAGCACTGAGGCTGAAGGTTGCTAGATAGTGGTCTTGGTCGGCCTGGATGACAAAAGCAGCGGGAACCGTTCCTGCGTGCCCGAAGCCTTTGGCACTTCCTCTGCCCTTTTAACCCTCCTCCGGGTTAATGCTGTTGCCTTCTAGTCAGGAAGGCCAACGCTTTCTAGCAGCATGAAACCTGCTGAAACTGACTCGCTGCTGCAGTTCACGAGAGAAGTAGCTGCAATTCCGCCTTCCCCAAATGGGGCTGCTGCAAGCCCGTGACCCAAGCCGGGTGCCTGCGATGGCGGGGGCTGCCACGCACGGTCTGTGCGCTGGTCTAGCTTTCCTGCCTTTCCCCAGCATCTTACACTGAGTATAACACTTGACAGGGCTGCAGCAGCTACCAGCTCTTCAGAGAAGGGGCTGAACCCGCTCTCCTGTCTGTTACGATGCTGGGCAGTGTAGAAATCTGAGCTCAGGGCCTAGCTGTGTCAGTGGCCTGCTCTGAAAAGGACAAACAGGTGATCCTGATCCTGCACCTTCCGTTCTGGTGCATCCCAATCTCTTCAAACCAGCACAACATTCAGCAAGTCTAAAAGGCAGCCACCTCTGGGGAGGCAGCTAGGTGAGAGGCACGCAGCCCAGCAGTGGGGGGCGGGGGAACGTTTGGTCCCATCCGCCAAAGCAGGCAAAATTGACCCCTTATTCTTGGATTGCCAAAAAGGTGTGGGGAGGAGGGTTTAAGGCCTGACCTGGAAACCCCACTGTACCCTGTTTGGAAGGCTGAAGGGCTGGGCTCACCTGTAGTTCCTAGGAATGTGGGTATTTCAAACCTGGGGCTTCCTGCGTCCAAGCCGTCCCCTCTGGCACTATCGCAGGCAACTCAAGCTCTCCCGTTTGCTCTCCCCAGTGCCGCTTTCCTCCTCCAGCATCTCGAGCACCAGCTCCGAGGAGCAGTCCCCCGTGTTCTCCCGCCAGCACAAGCGCGAGGTGCGCTTCCTGGAGCTGCAGAAAATCGCCTCCTCCTCCAGCATGAACAAGTACGTCAGCTGCCTGGGGAGACTGGCTTGTGGGGGGCAGGGAGGAGGAGCCCAGATTTAGCAGCATCCTGCAGCCCTACGGCAGGGGGCCTGCTCAGCAGGTAAAAACTCCTTCCTGAGCATTGGGCCTTTCCCATCCCAAACCTCTCCTGTTCAGTGTAGGAGCCCAGTAAGTGCCAGATCGGCTCCGCCCCTGGGGCCAGGTAGCTCAGTGTCCTGGACTGAGGGCCGCCCCGTGAATGGGATTGAAGTACGGCCCTCTCTTTTTAGACTGGTGCGCAGCGCGCCAGCGGCTGAGATGTCAGCGACACTGCTGCTGCAACAGTCTGCCTGTCTGCTAAGGACTCGGTGCCAGGTCACTGCTCTGGCCCTTGGTATCTCGCGTTACAGGGCTGGTGCTTTCTTTACAGCTTCCTTCCTGGCTCCCCCATGGGCGACATCATGCAGACCCCGCAGTTCCAGCTGAGACGGCTGAAGAAGCAGCTGGCGGACGAGCGGGAAAACCGGGATGAGCTGGAGCTGGAACTGGCAGAGAACCGCAAGCTCATCACAGAGAAGGGTCAGTAGCTGTCACTGTGGTGGGGAGGGGATCTGGTGCACAGTGTGTATTGGAGCACCCCTGCCGCAGCTACCACCACGCCCACGGTGTTGGTGCAGGGCGTCTGTCTTGTGGGCAGGCGAAGGCCGGCAAGCGGGAGCCTCTCTCTTGGCCAATGTTGGAAGGGAGCCCGAGAGGGCTCCCCAGTCCTCTTCCGTACGTGGGGGCTTCGCTGACGGTTCCAGGGACTGGGTCCCATCAGTGCTGGCAGTTTCAGGAGCCTATGCAGATGGTCATTGCAGCCAGTGGAGCAGGTGCGTGGCAGAGGGTGTGGTGTGAGGCTTCCCGGGGCCCCCAGTGTCGAGAGGCGCCTTGGCAGCACCTTAGGGTGAGGACCGCGGGTCAGCTTTGTAACCCCACGGGCAACACTGGCACCGCCTAGGCCCTGTGGGCACCACTGGCACCTTGCAGGCTAGCGAGAGGCACCTCCAGGCGCCCAGAGGGCCCAGCCTTGTTCCATAGACACTCGCAGGGTTCACGGGTTCGCTGCCTCCAGAGAAACAGGGCAGCTGGGCTCACCGCTCCACTTCCTGGGGAGAGAGCCAGGAGACCTGAGCTTTGCCGGGCACAGAGATTCAGGCAGGAGCAAATGGTTCCGTCTAAAACAGTCGCAGCGTACGGCCTAGATCGTAGGCTTGATTAACCAGCTGTTGTTATAGTTAGTAAACACAGCTTCCTCCCGCGACTCCGTGCAGTGTGGTCCAGCCTGCCTGGCCGTGACTCTTTTCATGCAGCAAACTGGCTAACAGTTTGCCTCCTAGGTAAAGGATTCTGCGTCTCCCTGGATACCCCCTAGCAACCCTTTGTCATTAGGCACAAACAGGATGGTCCCCGCTGCTTGATTGTTTTCCTGTAGGTATTTTTCCTAGTGGGTTTTACAGTCTTTCCACCAGTATCCGGTGTAGGAGGCCAGCTCCTTTGTAAGTCTTACGTGGCCAGACGCAGCGATAAGCACCTGCTGCCTCCTACCTGAAAGAACATGTCCGAGGTTTATCACCCTCCTGGGGGCCTGCCTTAATGCCAGGATTTCAGCGTAGCCTTCAGTATGATCCGAGTCCTCACTTTGGTACACTGTGCCCGCTGCCAGTTGGCTCCTATGCGGGTTCTCCCCCTCCAGGCTGCGAGCAGAGCAAGCGCTGCACCGCTTGCATTGGACAGAAGCTCCGCATCTTGCAGCTTTGCTTGGAGGCTGCGTGAGGGTGGTTCCCCCCGGCTGTGTTACCAGCAGCAAACACCTGCTGCAGCACAGCTGTAGGCCGTGCGCTGGGCCTGCCCATCTTCAGTTTCGTGGTCTGAGCACGGCCGGTGGTGGCTTTTGTGGTGCCAGCTTGTCACTAGCTGGCTGGGGGCCTAAATGACAGGGCTTCCCTTCCCCCTCCCCAGAGACTCAAATCACCATGCTGCAGCAGCGGATTGACCGCCTGACGCTTCTCAACGAGAGACAAGCCGCTGACGATCTGGAGCCCAAGCAGCTGGAAGAACTGCGGGAAAAGAACGAAAGGTAACCCCTCCGGGGCAGCTTCTTTCCCCAAGGGCTCCGGCCGGGCTGGTGCCCAGGCCTTATGGGTCCTCCCGTGGCTGTTGCCCTCCTCTGCTGTGGCGGATCCCAGGGAGGAGCGGGAGCCGTGCTGCTGTGTGGCCTCCTTACACAGGAGCGCCCAGGCACACGTGCGCTGTAATCACACTTGCGCTGATGCTCCAGACTCCAGTTGTCTTCCTGTCCTGCCAGAAACCCGGGGTCTCTAAAGAGGCTGGGTCTGCCCCTCAGCCGGTGTCACTGGGTCTTGACTTACCCCGTTCCGGCTGTAGGGAGCGAAGCCCGGCTCCACCAACAGCCCCCTCTACCTTCACGGGAAGTGTGCGCCATCCAGCCAGTGTGCCCAGAGCGGGAGAGCAGGCTGTGACCTGTTCCCACGCCCCACGGCAGGCTGCCTTCTCGCGGAAGTCCCGGCAGAAGCGGCTCCAGTACATGGAGGCTGGGAACTCGTTTGCTTCAGCCAGCAAAGGGTGATCCCTGCCGGGTGCCTGCAGCGGCCTCAGAACTCCCCCTTTGGCGCAGACGTGATGGGTTCCACGGAGGCCTGGAAAGGGGCTTGTGCTTATCTCCTCCCCATCCCAGACGTAGCGGCTGGCAAAGCCAGGCGGTGCGGCAGTGAGCCAGGGACTCGGAGCCCAACTGGGCTCCCACTAGGGGTGCGAAAGGTTAATTGGCAAGCAACATCCTTACGGGGGGAAGCCTATTGGATCCGGTTAACCGTTGGGGGCTGGAACAGCGACCCGCCCACTGCGGGGTAGCGGCTGCTCAATCCCCGAGGGGCCCACCGGGCACGGGGCTGCTCTGGCCGCCTGCCTTCCCCCTAAACATCCCATTTAACCAGTTAAACGGGAGTTTACATACTCAGGCAGGGTCGTTAAGGAGCCAGGAGAATATGGGATGTGCCCGGTTTCCCCCTCCACTTCTAGGGAGTCTTAACACGACGCTGCCTTGGGAGCAGCTTCCTGGCTCCTCTCCCAGGTCACACTTCCGCTAGGCAGAAAGCGTAACCCCCGCCGCCCCCTTCCACAGCCTGATCTTGCGCTTGCACGAGGCCCTAAAGCAATGCCAGGACCTGAAGACTGAAAAAGGCCAGATGGACCGAAAAATCAACCAGCTCTCCGAGGAGAACGGGGACCTCTCGTTCAAGGTACAGGGCACCCCTCCCTCTTCCCCCCGATGGTACAAGCCATGGCGGATGTGAGCGTAACCCCCGCCGCCCCCTTCCACAGCCTGATCTTGCGCTTGCACGAGGCCCTAAAGCAATGCCAGGACCTGAAGACTGAAAAAGGCCAGATGGACCGAAAAATCAACCAGCTCTCCGAGGAGAACGGGGACCTCTCGTTCAAGGTACAGGGCACCCCTCCCTCTTCCCCCCGATGGTACAAGCCATGGCGGATGTGCGGGGATCGTGCTTTGCGCCGGAGCTGCGGTGTCTTGGGCCTGCCTTTGCCCCAACAGCAAGCTCTGCCTGAGAGTCCATTCGCCCTCCTCCGTTTGACTCTGCTGCCTCCGGACGCGTTGCCATTCGGGTCTTTTATCGGACGTTCCCATCAGCACATAGCCCTGGGCAGCATACAGGGTGCTCAGCTGGCCCCTTGGTGGTGATGCTTTCTGGCAGGGCTGTGGGCTGGCTGCTGTGAGGAGATGGGAAGGAAGGAGGGTTGGGGGTGGGAAGGCAGGGCACTGGGACTCAAGGGCATTACCAGCTCTGCCACCCTCTTCCGGCATAGAGACCAAGCGAACGTGTGAGGCGGCGATGGGGAGAGACGCAGGTTAGGGAAGCAATCCCCTTCGGGCTGCATTGGGAGACCAAGCAAACACGTAACACCAGGCTGAGCTGAGCACCCGCTCTGTGTGCGGTGGATAACCAGGCAGTGTTTGTGGGGGCTGTTGCTTTGGTCCAGCTTCGGGAGTTCGCCAGCCACTTGGCGCAGCTGCAGGAAGCGTTGAACGAGCTCTCCGAGGAGCACAACAAGGCGATGGCGGAGGGGGAGGAGAAACGAACCCACCTGGAGACCGAGCTCCACGCTGCCCTCCACGAGAAGGTAGGGGCTGTGGGCAGGGTGCCCCACAGAACCAGGCCTTGCCTCTACGTCAGGGGGGAGTCCTGGGGTGGGCAATAGGGACCCAGCGCTCCAACCTCGATGGCAAGCTGGTCCCTGTGGCCAAAGGCAGCTTGTCTGTTTCTGAGGGAGGGGTGCCTTGCGGGGCCCAGCCGTAACACCCACACGCAGGCGTGCCTGGTGTTTCTGACTCCAAAGAGTCCTTTCTACCTCCGAGACGAGATGTCCGCAGGGCAGGGTGGGAAGCGGGTGGGCAATAGGGACCCAGCGCTCCAACCTCGATGGCAAGCTGGTCCCTGTGGCCAAAGGCAGCTTGTCTGTTTCTGAGGGAGGGGTGCCTTGCGGGGCCCAGCCGTAACACCCACACGCAGGCGTGCCTGGTGTTTCTGACTCCAAAGAGTCCTTTCTACCTCCGAGACGAGATGTCCGCAGGGCAGGGTGGGAAGCGTGTGTGGAGGGAG